TAAAGTTGAATAATGTGAAAAAATTATTAATCGGAGTCTTGTCAAAGTCGTTCTATACATAAAATCGATGACTATAGATAACTTTAATTATTATATGTGTACGCAATAATTAGAGTTATCTACAGTTATCGATTTTATTTATAGAGTGACTTCCATAAAACTCTGATTAATAATGTTTTACTATTGCTCACTTCAACCGCTAGAATTTATAAAATGATTCTAATCAAACTCCAATTGACTTTAATTGTTAAGTAACATTTTTATAATATTTTATTAGCATATGGTTTTGATTAGATTAGAGACAATAAATTATACAATGAAAAAAATTGTTACAATTAGTTCCAGCCGGTTGAATTAAATATCTTTCTATGAGTAATTTCTCCTAATCTAATCAAACAAACACTTAATAATTTTATCCACGTTAGCAAAATGCTAAGAAAATGTTAGTCAACAAATTAATCTTCAATTAAGTCAATTGGAGTTTGCCCGAAGTCACTTCATAAGTCGCAGCGATTAAAGTGAGTAACGATAAAAGACTATTAATCAAAGCCTGACCAAAGTCGCATTAGATAAACCATAACAACTTTATCACATACATATAGAGACTAACTTATATAGATCGGATAACTACAAATAGTATGAATAAAAAAATGTAAGACTTCAGCAAAGTTGCCTTACCTGAAGTATAAAAAACACGATAATCAGAGCACAAGGTTGCTAGATCCTATAAAGCCACAAAAAAAAATACGCAATGAGCAGAGCGCAAAAAAATATATAGATTATAGAATAGAACGTGAACGAGGTGGAGCGTAAACAGAACGTAAATAAAGTACATGTAAGATGCTGGATGAGTCTACAAAAAGCAAAATTCAATAAAACAAGTAGATCGTGTAGCTTCTACTCTCGTTGTCGTGCACACACCGCACAATCAGTGGTTGATCAAGGATGCTCCAGATGATGCACGTGAGAGCAGATCATTGCGTTCGATAGATACACGTGAGTGTTCAACACGGGACGACACAACGACAACAGAAACGTTACGGTATCGGATCGCAACGGGTCGTTAGGTAGCCAACTCCGCTAAAACGATTAGTCTCGCATACCGATCGAAAAGAGCGGCATGAGAAAAAATACCTGGACGCAGCCGCACGCGCGCGGCCATCAGTTGCGATTGCGATAACGGTGAAACAGAATGATGGTTTTCTCCGGGCAAATTGAAAGCTTTCCAGAACGCGTGCCGATTCTCCTGTGGATTCTCCCGCGGAAAGAAAGAGGGAAAAGATATTTACTGTTAAACTCATAATGTCAAATTATACTCAATTGGAATTATATTTAATCATTTAAGCAGGTCCCCGGCAAACACAGAATAAAATTGCAATATCGCTGCAATATTGCAATTATATTCTGTGTTTACTGGATTCTATCTAATATGTCATTAATTTGACTAAAATTTAATTTAAGAAAATATATTAAATTTGACTCAAATTTAGTTTATTACTTAATGAATGCATATGTTAATATGGCTTACTTTGAAACTAACCACATCAGAAATGGATTAATTTACATTTTGATGAAAGTTAAAAATCCGTCTTTTACTGTAAAGGACAGTTTTTTATTTCTAACATAGCTGTCTTTTAGTTTTTTTTTCAAAACTCGTTTTCGTTCTTTATTTTAGTAATATATATATTACTGGAAAATTCTTCCTAATTGTTATTCCAATATCTAATGCTCACACTAATGAGCGAAACAACCGACAAATTTAATTTTATACAGGAACAATATTAGCCCAAGCAGAACAACAAACTTACAATAACATCAAAATGACATTAAAATGATTGATTATGTGAATGATTAAAAAATAACTTGTAATAATCACAAGTTTGCAGCTATATTGACGTCACTTTAATGTTACGATGACTTGTGCTTTTCTTGGAAGTTATTTCAGATATACTGTGCAAGAAAATTGAAGAAATTAATGCGCAGACTTCTGACAGTTACAGACGAGCCTAGAAATAAAGTCCTATCATTTTCAGATTTGTCCTTTACTTTTTCTAAAAAAAAAAAAAAAATAATCATCGTACCGAATACCGATCTCAGCCATAAGAGGTCGTCGACAGGTAAGATGAGCGACACTCTCGGGTAAAAGTTCTCGCGGCTCGCGTGGATAGGCCGGATCAAGATCGCCGATGATGGTGATGATGGCAACGTGAAATCGCCGCAATCGTTTTCTAACCGCAGAGAACGGAAGACCGACTTTTCCGCGACTCTCGCCGTGCAATGGAATCGCACGTAAGACGTAATTCACTTACGACGTGGGAAAAAAGCTCCGCAAGATGAAATGGAAACGCGAATGACCCTTCGCTTCGAGGCTATCGGAAACTAATCGAGAATGTATTCGTTCCGTCAAATTGAAACGAGCTATTCTCCTTAATCGAGTATCTATACACCGACATCTCTACGCGCTCGAAGGAGGCGTGTAATTTCGGGGATTGATCAAGTGGATTCTCATAAGCGGAATTTCATTGTGCTCCCTTCGTCTATCGCAATCCTAAATTGTCTATCGATCCTGAGAACGCGGTGATCGGTAAGAGGAATTGGCTCCGCTACGCGACGCGGTATCAGGAATAGTAATTTCTTCTAATAGCAGGAAGCGCGGTATCGTTCCCGTATCTTCACTGGAGAAGAGAGGTCCACGTCTCCAGCGAAGGCAAGGAGGACCGGCGAGGAATCCCGACAGAATCGCGAAAGTCCGGGGTACGCTTCACCGGCCAGAAGCATATTCCCGGTATTGTCCATCGGTCCTGATTATATATCATTAATACGGCATATCGCAAGAGATAAGGCGGGACGCGTTTACCGATAATTAGGAGATACTCAAACCTTGGGTCTTTCTGCAAGTCGATACCCCTTATGCGCTATACGTTACATTGTAGACATTATTATTGCGAACGTGCAATCTCCTCTGGGGAACCGGCGAGCGGGTAAACATTGGTTACGGTGCCTTCGGCTTCCCGCCCAACCGTGGAAAACGAAACGAATCCGTGAGATACTGCTCTTATCGGTGATGATTGGACACCTGCTCGCTCGTGCTTGCTCGTGCTTGTTCGACCGGAAGCGCGAGAACACCTCGTGGTATCTTGGTGAAATTAGGCTAAGATAATAATTTGGACTTTCGACGTGGAGTCGGTGAGCGGTGATAGGTAGGTGACCACGCCAATTATTGCTGATCGTCTTACCAAGGCTGACCGTAATTAAACGAGTCCACCTTCCTGCCTTGGTCAGTGGCACGATTGCCACTTTTCAACTGGTGTTCCATTGAAGCTGCGTTAGACTATCCTCTTATTGGAGATCCCACCATTCTGTCAGATATCGATTGCCACTATCAAAATTGTTACTTTCTTAGTGATACTTTCTGTAAAAAAGGCCAAAAGGTCATCAGATCTGATCCTTCTGCTGAAGATTTCTTTTCCAAACTGAAAAATCGACATGCGTATTTACTCTCTAAATTCTTTGAAATAAAATCTCACTCTAAAGAGTTAAAATGAAATCAGTGTCGAAAAAGAAAGTATCAATTTTCAGTCTTTAAGAGTGAGATTTTACTCTTCAGACAATTTTCAAATCTTTTAAGTTTCGAAATTCAAATGTCGAAGTCTTTTTCGAAGCAAATCGCCAGTTCTAGTCATAAAACCGTAGATGTGACGACCGTAAAGATGGCCGGTACTCATGGAAGATAGTCTCAAGATAAAAAGAGGAAGAAAATCAGGACCGCTTTTCTCAGCGGAAAAATCGCATCCGATGGGAAGCGTGCCAGTGAAGATAGATAGCGTCGCGATTTTTAATGACGGAGATATAAATATACATTACGTTACTTTGACACCACGCATCGGTCTCTGGCGGGAGCCGGTTTTCATATAGAGAAACAATTAATTACTATCCGCCTAGCGCGAATCGAAGTTCTTCGCGTTAATGGATCCACGACAGGTTTTTCGAACATGCATCGGGCACACGAGATGACAACCGCTAGTTATTCGCATGCCATGCGGTTAATCATCAGATATAGCCTGCGATAACACGTGGGTTATCTTATTAAATGAATTACTAAGTGGGCCTTGCACGACCATATACCGTTAAACGCGTAAAATTATCTATGCGCCGCTTATGACCTGACGGTTCTTATCGGGTTGGAAAGTCAATTTTTCGTCGCGTACGGAAGTCACGCATATCCGTTTATCAGGTGTTGACGCGCACTTTCAAAAGATAGATCGAAACATATATCACAAACGTATCTTTATAGATGCTTTCCATTTAGTGATACAGATCGATACACTGAGAAAAAAATATATTCAATTTTAATAAATATTTAGTTTAATACCGCCAACTAAACATTTACCTATCATAAATAAATATTTGTTCAGTAAAAAGAATGATGTTAAATCAAATTAATGTTTCTTGTATCAAATAAATATATCTTTATATTTAATAAATATAATATTTAATTGGCAATATTCAACTAAATATTTATTAAAATTGACTATATTTTTTCTCAGTGCACAAATCTCTTTTCTTGATGTTCGAGAAATAACAATCGAGGGGGGAACCACTATATCTAAAATATTGTTCCACAGATTACATGATTTCATATGATTTCATCTGATTACAAATAATTTTTTTCATTACATATGAAGTCATTTGGTATAATGTAAATATACTGTAATGTAATGTAAAATATACGATTTTATTTAATATTATGCAATGATTTCTCGTGCTTGCATATGTACAATTATCGGATTATACATAGAGATTTCATATGAATTTTATAATGATCATTTCGAGGACTTTGTTCTATGATTACATTAAGTGGTTACCCCCTCGATAACAATACAAATAGCGATTTCAGTTGGACACACCCAGTGCGCATCGGTACACATTAAAGCTATAATTGTACACAGATTGATGTAAAGATATGTGTTTACTATGGATGTTTTCCAATTGCTTAACACATCTTAACATAAACGTACACAGGAGTGCACAAAGTGTAACATTGTGTATGATTCAATTGGAACAGAATGTGTGCGCTGTGCACGGTTGAGATCCGTTTCGGATAGAGTTAGATTAAATGTAGCTTTTTCTGCCTGTATTAATCAAAAAAAAAGTAAAAATGCCAGCCACTCAACGTCTTTCAACCTCATTTATAGCCGCCGCAGTTAGTAAGTAATTGTCACTAGAAAATGCAAGCTTAGGATGGGATTTCATTTGTGCGTTTTTGTCGTACGACAAATGTGTGCAGGATAGAGAGGTCCTCGGATCTCTCTATCTTATAGCCAATCAACAGGCTTGAAAAATTTATCGTACGACAAAAACGCACAAATGAAATCCCACCCTTACACAGCCCTCGACTGAGTACAGATGTGTAGCGTTGTGTCGACGATAACGGAATTGGAACGCAATTTGTGTCGCACGAAAGTGTCTAGAGATATTGCAATTGGAAAGCACCCTATAAATAGAAACGGAAAAAATTGCGAAATCCTCAATACACTTTACTGAGCTGTTAAATAAAATATGTGTTTTATAATTTGAAATATTTGCATTTTAATTTACACTCAATGTAATCAGTGTACGACTGCAGCTTTAATGCACCTGTGCGCATTAATGCATTGAAAAATTCTAAATTTTAATAAATATTTATTTAAACAGTTCTAAGTAAATATTTACTAAATATATAAAACATATATTTATTTGGTACAAAGACTATTAATTCGACTCAACTGTCATCTTTTTGTTCAGTAAATGTTTACTTATTGTTAGTATTATTCAAAGAAATATGTATTAAGATTTAGTAAACTTTTTTCAATGTGCGGATCCAACCGAATTTGCTAAAAGACAGAACAACACTTACGTCGTCTAATATCATTAAATGGAAAGTATCCCAATGACTATCCTAAAATCGTAATTAAATCGTAAAAAAGGGCGACGTGGCAGGATTAGATCGAAGCGTCTGGCACGCACTAAGATGTTAATCCCGTTCGGCATATATAACGGGATAGATGAATTATTCCTGAGTACTATCTGAGACGGATATGCTCGCGTATGCATGAACGCACACGTAGAATGCGTCGATGTCAATGCGTAATGAATGCCACCAGACTAGAAACGCGAACGGCTGTCGAAGTTGTGATGAAAACTGTCGATTTGTTAAGTCATTCCCTCGCACGCCTCGGTATCGGAAATTCTCTAACTCGTCTCGCACTGCATTTAAATCTAAAAGTAAGAACACGTTACAAATACGGAGAAAAATTTTCTGATTGTATCAAAAAGAAGTATGATCTAAATAGAACGAATGCTGATCATACCTGATATCTTTCTGATCATATTGATATATAGATCAGAATTGTGGTTATCATAATTGAATTTCTGATTATCTCGAATAGAATGTTTGATACATTTATAGTCTATAAACGTCTGATTTGTATATATATATCTTTCTGGTTGAATCTACCAGACTTTCAATTAGTGCAACAAGACTTTCCAATATAGGAAAATATTATAGATTATAATAACGAATTCGATTGAACGCACTCAGTGCGCATTGGTGCACATTAAAACCGCCGTACACAAAATGACGTAAAGATATGTGTTTGATATAAATATAGAAATCGATTAAATTGTGAAATTTTCAATACACTTTATTATTCTGTTAGATGAAATATGTATTATATAATTCGAAATATTTGCATTTCACTTTTCCCGTCAGATTAAATCAATGTACAATGGCTTTTATGTACACCAGTGCGCAATAATGCATCCAACCGAATTTGCTACAAGATAAATATAAAACTGATATAATATAAAGACGCAATAATGTATAATATAATAGAAAAAAAAAAAAAAATATACACTGAAAAAAAAATTTAATAATCTTAATACACATTTCTTTGAATAGTACTAATTAAACATAAACTTATAGTAAATAAATATTTACTCAATAAATAAATAATAATTAATTTAATTAAATCAAATTAATAATTTTTTTTATGGTTTTCATTCAAATAAATATATGTTTATATTTAGTAAATATTTTACTTAGAAATAAACTTATTGAAATTTAATATTTTTTTCAGTGTAAAGATATTCAATCAGGAAAGATCGTAATGTGAGCAATGATAGTACATATATATACTGATCACGCAGTACAATATTAAAAAGCAACGAAGAGTCTTCGAAGCTAGGTTTCACACTCTCGTTATTTTACACCGCAGTCGTAATACTAGTAGCAGCGATATGTTATTACGCAATACAACATTAGCTACAACAGCGTGAGAGAGCTGTTGGGACGGAGACCAGCATAAATCACACAACGCGTGCGATGTACGGCGTTTATTGCGCGTCCCGTGAAGCGTCGTGAACAGTAATGATAACCAGGACTTTCTCTAATATCCGATCATATTTCTCTACGCATTACACGAGTCAGTTAAAGCGTTACGGAACAAATAATTTCGCGGCGTCGACAAACTTGCGCGTGACGCGTAACGCGAATTTATGCCGTCGCCGTTATAATTGCGCCAACGATGAAATAATAAACAAACCGGCGTGCGTAACGTCCATTTACATTTTTACCTCGTTCCGCGCTTCAGAGACGAAGACGGACGTTTTTCCATTGCGCGTCGCAACGCCGCGATTTCGCCGCGCGATCCTTGACGGGAGAGAGGTAAATGCTTTATACGAATAACCTACACGCTTCTTTGGAATTTGTGCGTTATTAGAGGTTCTTAAGTACTGGCAAATTTACATACGCGTACTCAGATAATATAAAATCTAAAATCGGGATGTAAGACGTCTTTTACGCTTTAAATATATGATATGGCTATACTGAAAGAAAAAAATATCTTGATATAAAAAAATTTTACTTAACAAGAAAGTTTATTTATTCGGTGAATTCTATCTGATTTTTTGTTTCAAGATATTCTTTTTCGCAATGTATGTGGATTTAAATCATGCAGTATCTACATGTATAATTCTCATCGTGTGGTACTAATATTAACTTTTACACATGATTGGATTATACGTGTCCTGCGTATTTCTTTTCTTCGAAATACTAGGTATCTGTAATTAATTTAACATTTATATACAATTTTTCCAAATAACGAACACAACTTAACAAATACTTTCTAAAGATGTTACAGTAACATGTAAGATTCACTTAATATATAATTTTTGTATACTTGTAAAAGTAATGAAAATTAATTCAAGTCATGAATTCAAGTCATCGTAATATAATGAAGGTCCGGAAAATCATCGTGTATATTATGATTTTCTTTCCAAGGCCTTCAGTTTTTCCTTTCGATCTTTTGGCACAAAGTATCCAAAATTTTGAGGTAATCTGGTACAAAGTTTTTTATTATTATTTTATTATTTCTTATTATCTTTCTGTTATTATTTCTTTGATGTTTTATCCTATCCACTCTTATCTACTTAAATGCATAAGTTAAACTCGGCAGAAACTTCAAAAAATTTAAGTAATAGAATACTCGGACCGAAGCAAGAACATGTCCGCTCCGGCCGAGCTACCCACAGAGACTAATCTTACCGTGTGTAGTAACGATAAGAGTTAACATCAGCATGGTGTAAATTTAAAACCCTTATAACCACGAACGCCTGATATCGATGGCTTAAAAATATTATATTTGATATATAGTACAATAAATAAACGTTTCGGTCTAGAATCAGATCTTTTTCAGTATTACACTAATTAAACGTGATACGAATATAATACAATATAATTTAGATCTTAAAATTAGAGTCTTACATTTATAAATACTTTAAATTTATACTCGTATGGAACATTGTGTGTTTAAATGGAAAAATAATCACATCTATCAATGAAGCGGAATAAAACATCTGCTAGTAATGTATTAACGGATATCAGTAATATCTTAAATTATTTATAAGTGTGAGACTCTAATTTTAAGATCTAAATTATATTGTATTATATTCGTATCACGTTTAATTAGTGTAATACTGAAGAAGACCTGATTCAAGACCGAAACGTTTATTTATTGTACTATATCAAATATAATATTTTTAAGCAATCGATATCAGGCGTTCGCGGTTATATGTCTTTTTAATTACATTGTTTTATATTCGTACCATGTATCTAACCTATATTGTTTAAAATTGATGTTTATATCGACACCAACACGATGAGAATCATGTAGACTTTTCGTGGTGTTAAATTCACACCTATATTTTCTAAAGTGTAAACGTCTCGCTTTGAAGATATTTTTAAAGCCTTGTATCCACAGTTCTAAAAATCGTCTTGAGCCTCAAACGAAGAAGGAATTGATTAAATACGTTAGTCAATCGATCGAATTGTTCTCTCAAATGATTCAAGTAATTTGTATTCTTTCTCCGAAATCTCGGAGCGATTTCTAGTAGCGTGTACACAAGGTTTAAGATTAAAACCAAGGGATAAACCGCTAAGGGCATTGCGATGCACAGATTTAGGACATTGCTGGGCATTATTTAAGAGAATTGTGTATTATAATGAGCGGTATAAAGATATGCATTACTGAGCATTGTATATAGAGCGTTACTAGGACATTAATGGATATTACTATATAGATAGGAGTTTAGTAGGCATAAATATAGTTGAGTTATTTGGGCATTACTTGGGTATTACTGGACATTAGTAGGTATTGGTGTACACAATTTTGGTCAGCGGTTACCCTTTCACTAAGACTCGTGATTAATTAGCCTTCCCAAGAGTCGAAATTTTAGTCCTACTTTGAATCTCTTTCAACCTCAATTAAACCTTATAAACCTATTTTGATACTTCAACAATCAAATAAAATCTTTTTTAATATTACTTAATCTACAGCTTCTATTTAGAAAACTTCTTTTGAGCCTAAAAATAAGAAATTTTCAGATATAACTGCCATTTACAGACTCAAAGCGTAAGAGTTCAATTTTATTAGATTAGAATTTATTATAAATCTCTAGAATCTACATACGTCCTAATTATAAATCTTTAGAGTCTACGTCCTAAAACTTCTTAAGATTCAATTAGGTAGAAGTAAAATTTCGACTCGAGTTATGTGTGATGACGATTTTTATAGACTTTACATTGTCTAGGTAAATATTTCAAGGCGAAGGTAACCGCGGCCACTGGTGATCAGCGGGAGCTTGGTGTCTTCCGTCCAGCTCTTCCACCATATACATCAGCCGATCAGCGTAGCGATAATAACGCGCGATATAGCGCAGTCGCCGGCAGCGACGGCGACGGCGGCGGCGACTGTTATTGATCGCGCGTCATGCGCCGCCGTGTTTCACGGCAAACGGCGGTGCGGGACGCGGCGCAGACGCCGCAGACGTGAGACGCTCGCTATACGCCTGGACGCGACTCGGCCTGGCGGGGCAGTGCC